ATGAGGATGAGGATGACGGGAACCAGGAGGAAGGAGGGGAAGCTGTGAGGACAAGCAGGACGGAGAACGGAGGGATGGCGTGGGAAAGAGGAAGCAGGAGAAGGATGACACACCGATAGGAGAAGGAGGAGAAGAGGGAAGGCAGACAAGAACGACGGAAGGAAAATAGGAAAAAGAAGGAGGGGGACGCCTCTGGGAAGCCTCTGAAGAAGCCTCCAGAGGGCCTTGGGAGCTCCTGGGATGCACTGGGGCCGTCTTGAAGGGTCCTGGTCTTGAGGGGGGTGGTCTCGGGCGCTCCCGGGGAGGTCGCACGGCCATCTGGGCACGCTGGGCGAGTCCTAAACAGTCTGGAAGCCACGTTGGCGTGGCACGCGGCTGCCCCGTGGCCCACGCAGGGCGGTGCCCGAGGAACGTCGGGGACAATCTGGGGTGGCCCTAGGGCCCTGGCACGGCTCCCAGAAGGAATTCGAAGGCAAACACGAGGGACACAGGCAGGCTGACCAGAACTTCCAGTTCTTCGATGTCGTTTGCCTCCCATCTCATGGGGTCTCACCGGGTGGTTCCCAAGAGCCCACATCGAATGCATCAAGGCGGCCTCGAAGACCCGCATGGGACTCTGCAAAACCGTCTCGAGGAGGCGCGGGGCCTTCTCGAGGAGGTACGGGGCCTTCTTGGGGGCCAGGGAGGCGCCAGGAGGCCGGGAGGGGAGGAAGCAATGCAGAGACAACGGCGCCCCCCCTGGTCAGAGAAGGCCCAGGCGGTGGCTCCCAGGGCGTGCCTTCGCATAAATGCCTCCTCAAGTCTATCATCATGGCCCTGTGCTGCCGGGGTCACAGGAGTTCTTGCGGGGCGCAGTGCCTTTTCCGCTTGCCCGTTGGCAGCCGAACACAATCCCAGAGCACGCGAGAGTCACCACGAGAGGGCCGCGGCCAGTACGGGAGGGCAGGGTGGCGAGGGGGGGGAGGAAGCTCCACCTGATAGTTGCCACTTCGTCTCGCAGAAAGATTGACCTCCTACAAGGTTGGGTGGGTCTACAGAATTCATGTGGCACCCAAACCACTGCCGGGCATAATGCTGCCATCTCTGCTTGGAACACCGTCTGCGCATTGAGGATTGCCAACGGCCCTCCCGTCGCCTCCTCCTCCTCCTCCACCTCCTCCTCCTTCTCCGCCTCCCCCCCCCCCTCCTCGTCCTCGTCCTCCTCCTCCTCCTCCTCCTCCTCCTCCTCCTCCTCTTCCTTCTCCTCCTCCTCCTCCTCCTCCTCCTCCTCCTCCTCCTCCTCCTCCTCCTCCCTCGTTCCTATCCTCTCCTCCTCCTTCTCCCTCCTCCTCCTCCTCCTCCTCCTCCTCCTCCTCTCCTCTCCTCCTCCTCCTCCTCCTCCTCCTCCTCCTCCTCCTCCTCCTCCTCCTCCTCCTCCTCCCCCTCCTCCGCCTCCGCCTCCGCCTCCTCCTCCTCCTGCTCCGAGTCATCGTGTTCCCCCTCCCCCTCCCACCGTTCCTCCGTCCTACCCCTTTGCCCCTCCTCCAAAGGAGGGTAATGGCACTCCGAACGGCCAGTGAGTGGCCCACCCGCGGCGAGAGAGGACGCGGCAGCCGCGGCGCCTAACGACAGGGCGGACATGCCACAGGCCAGTTCCTCTCGAGGTCGAGCCGCCATCGTCTTCGTGGTCGCGTCACAGCCGCCGACGGCGGCGTCGTCGTCAGGCGTTCGCATCGGCGTCGGCGGAATCGGCGCAGGCGTCCAGGACGTATCCCCCTCCTTCCCCTTCCCCACCTCCTTCTCCTCCTGCTACTCGTAATCCTCCTGCTCCTGCACGTCCTCCTCCTCCTCCTCCTCCTCCTCCTCCTCCTCCTCCTCGTCCTCGTCCTCGTCCTCGTCCTGCTTATCCTACTCCTCCTGCCCCTACCATTCATGTATGCCCTCCACCATCATGAACCATCTTCACCATCACCATCACCACCACCTCCTCCACCACCACCACCATCATGAATCGCCATCATCATCAACAGCACCAGCATCTTCATAATAAACAGCATCAGCAGCAGCATCATTATCAGCATCAGCATCAGCATCAGCATCAGCATCAGCATCAGCATCACCATCACCATCATCATCATCATCATCATCATCATCATCATCATCATCATCATCATCATCATCATCATCATCATCATCATCATCATCATCATCATCATCATCATCATCATCATCATCATCATCATCATCATCATCATCATCATCATCATCATCATCATCATCATCATCATCATCATCATCATCATCATCATCACATCATCATCATCATCACATCAGCATCAGCATCATCATCATCAGCATCAGCATCATCATCATCAGCATCATCATCATCATCATCATCATCACCATCATCATAATCATCATCATCATCAGCATCATCATCAACAGCAGCATCAGCATCAGCATCAGCATCAGCATCATCATCATCAGCAACATCAGCATCATCATCATCATCATCAGCATCATCATCATCATCAAACTCAGCATCATCAGCATAATCAGAATATTCATCCGCATCATCGTCGCCATCACCGTCCTCGAGCATCATCATCATCATCATCATCATCATCATCATCATCATCATCATCATCATCAGCATCATCATTTGCATCATCATCAGCAGCATCATCATCATCGTCATCAGCAACATCGGCATCATCATCATCATCAACATCATCCTCCTCGTCATGATCATCATCATCGTCCTCCTCCTCTTCCTCCTCTTCCTCCTCCTCCTCCTCTTTCTCGTCCTCGTCATTCACATCACCACTGCAACCGTCACGATCACCACCAACACAATAATCAGTCCTCAGTGCTTTTGAGTCCTAAGTCCTCCTCCTCCTCCTCCTTCTCCTCCTTCTCCGCCTCCTCCTCCTTTCGCCTCCCCCTCCTCCTCCTCCTCCTCCTCCTCCTCCTCCTCCTCCTCGTCCTCGTCCTCATCCTCCTCCTCCTCCTCCTCCTCCTCCTCCTCCTCCTCCTCCTCCTCCTCCCCTCCACCACCCCCCCTCCTCCTCCTCCTCCTCCTCCCCTCCTCCTCCTCCTCTCCTTCCTCCTCCTCCTCCTCCTCCTCCTCCTCCTCCTCCTCCTCCTCCTCCTCCTCCTCCTCCTCCTACTTCCTCCTCCTCCTCCTCCTCCTCCTCCTCCTCCTCCTCCTCCTCCTCCTCCTCCTCCTCCTCCTCCTCCTCCTCCTCCTCCTCCTCCTCCTCCTCCTCCTCCTCCTCCTTCTCTCATCATTCATCATCATCATCATCATCATCATCATCATCATCATCATCATCATCATCATCTCATCATCATCATCATCATCATCATCATCATCATCATCATCATCATCATCATCATCATCATCATCATCATCATCATCATCATCATCATCATCATCATCAGCATCGACATCATCATCATCATCATCATCATCATCATCATCATCATCATCATCATCATCATCATCATCATCATCATCATCATCATCATCATCCTGATTACTTCTTCTACCTAGTCCTCATCCCCCTCCTCTTCCTACTCCTCCTCGTTCTGCCAAATCCTCCTCCACCTCATCCTCATCATCCTTGCGCTGCTTGCCCAACAGCGTGTCCCGCAGGACGGCGGACGCTCGTGCAGATCAGTGGTGCACGCAATCATCGCCACCACTCGGTGCATCTTCTGTCGTCATAAGTTTCGGAGTCGTCGCATCGCCCAGGAGACCTTGATGCCCGGACGCTGCTTGCCTCCCGCGTCGCCTTTCAATCACCCGGTCGTCGAGCCCGATGATCTGCCGTGCCGTCGTGTCCGGCGGCGTCGCACACCGTCGCCTCTGCCTGCTGTGGCCACCGCGCGGCCCATGGTTGCGCAACCAACCAGTCTCGCGCACGCCCCTCGGGCGCCCGCCCACATCAGGGACGCACTGACCCGGGTCAATGCACACCGGGGTCGGACATCCTGCAGGGTACTGCAAGATCCTGCACGCCGACCCCGGTCGGTGGGACCCCTGGCTCTGCAGGGTCCTGCAAAATCCGGCGCTCTGGCGGACCCCCGCATGCATTGGGGAAACCAAGAGGCACCGGCACCGCTACTCCGACTCCCCGGACCCCTCCCGGGGTGCGTCCTGACCAGAACTTCGAGGCGAATCCAGCGGTGGCGACGAGGGCCTCCCAGGAGGCCAAACAGGGGGAAAACGGCGATGGGTAGCGGTGCCAATCCTTGGGAGAGGGCGGTCCTGGGCATCGCCGGGCCCGTGGCAATCCTTGGGCGGGCGGTCCTGGGCAGCCGCTTCTGGCCGCGCGCGTTGCGAGAGGCGCCGTGCGTCCACGCCTCGCCCCTCGGTCCAGCACGGAGCGGGTCCTGCAGGTGCCCATCGACGAATCCGAGGACTCCCGAGTCGTCATGGCGACAGCGCTGAGGGGGACAGTGCTGCTGGTCGAAAGCGCACGATGGCTGGCCTGGCGACGGCACGTTTCCCCTGGAAAGGGCGGTGGGCGACGACGGCTTTCTGCGCACGACGCTCTGGGCATACTGGGGCTCGCCCGCGTCCTGCCGCCTCGGTTCCTCCTCCCTCCTACGTTCGAGAGTATACGGTCACCGCGGTGCCAAAGGAGCAGTGAAAACAAGGAACGAGTGGTTTGTTCTGGCCGCGAGCCTCGGCCACGAATAGCCACCCCCCGACCGAAATCAGAGGACCTGCCCGAAAACCAAAGCCCCTCCTGAACCCAACGCGGTTCTGACCAGAGCGTCTTGGCTGTAGTCTCTCGGTGCTGCTGCAACTGGCGCTGCGTTTCGGAACTCTGATAAAACAAGGCTAGGATCGGGATAAATCGCTCCAGAGCGTTCCGGAGCGCTCTCAGAGCGTTCCGGAACGCTCTGGAGCGGCCGCGGCGCCCAATACATCCTCCAAACCCGCCGATTCTCAGAGATTTCGAGTTATCCCGATTCGATTTTGTCCCGATCTTCGCATTGTTTTATGGCCCTCCAGAGGACTGGATGTTGTGCCAAGTGATATCCGCGGGCTCTCGGGCCCTGACTCGTTGCGCTCTGGGGTTTTCCGTGGGCCGTAAGCTTTACGAGTAAGCTGTTTCAGCTGGGTCCTCCTGCTGCCCTGTCGATTGTCTCGTGTCCCTGCGTGTCCTCACCTCCCCCATGGCCTCCCTCCTGGTCGTTGCTGCCTGCTGGTGGCCCACCGACTTGATAGTCTGCCAACTGTGCAAGCGTGGCCGGGCGAGGACGACTCCGGGCTCCCCGCAAACGGAGCGTCTTCGGGTCGTCGTCGGGTTGTGACACGCACGATGGGTCGCACATTGAAAATTGGCTCTTCGCTGCGTGGTAGGTCTGGTGAGATCGACTTTCGGCCTGTTACCACTCCGCCGCAACCGCTCCCCCTCCCCCTCCCCCTCCCCCTCCTCCTCCTCCTCCTCCTCCTCCTCATCCTCCTCCTCCTCCTCCTCCTCCTCCTCCTCCTCCTCCTCCTCCAACTCCTTCTCCTCCTCTTCCTCATCATCCCACTCCTCCCATTCCTCAATTTCTTCCTCCTCCTCCTCTTCCCAACGCTGTGGGGGCCCCACCTGAGGACCACGCAAAAGAAGTCTCAGCAACAGCCCACACGATCCAGCTGGGCAGAAATCTCAACTTTCGGACCCCTGGCAGAAATCCACTGGACAATCTTCGACTCCCATGGACCCCTGGACGTCCACAACTTTATACAACTGTTTCAATTGCCTCGATCCATGGGCCCCAAGCCTTCAGCAGTCGACCGACGGGTGCGGAGGCTGAAGGACACTGCCTGCAACAGTCAGGCTGACAATATGATGCGGCCTCCCCACTCCCCCCCCCTCCTCCCGCAACCGGCGGTTGGCATCCACGACTCCACACGTCTGCGAGGACGGGGCCACAAGGCGGAAGCGGGTGCACCAGCGGCGGCCAGGGGGTCCGCGCAGCTCGTGCTCGAGGGAGTGAGAGACCAGCTGGAGGGTGGGATTGGGCCTGCTCCTCATGCGCTGCGCCACGTGCGTGGTGTCGCGCGCATTCACGCGCTGCCCAACTAACCCCACCTGGTGCCCCACGCAATCCACAAACTGTTCGGGCCTAGTGCGGCGCGCGCACACGCCGGAAGGCGCACGCACACGACGTCATGCAAACTTGGCCCAAAGATCGACATAGAAATTGACAAACCTGTCCTTGCGGGTAATCCGCCCTGCTCAACACCAGCCGTCGTGCAGTGGCTCTTGACCTGGCGAATCGACAGTCCCGACTCGTCCAACCCCCCGAACTCACCCAAGACGCACCAGAAAACACGCCATCTGCAACGACGAGTGAAGGGTGGTAGCGGACTCACCACGTTCTGTCAGTCCCGAGAACACAGAATCGGAATATGTGACGGCTCTAATTGGAGGCGCCGAATTCTGGATCAGACGGTTCAAGGCCACCAGTTCAGCCACATCAATGTCGAATACCCAGTGGGAACAACTGCAGCAAAACAAATCAGACTCCCAAGGGCTCATCTTGGGACAGCGTGACGACCGCCCACGCCGTGCAGCATCCATCTTCCCGCTGGGATCCAGACGCGGGCCCGCCCGGGAAGGCTTCCCTAGCGACCAGGACCCCGAGGAACAGAGTGCCCACGTGTGCCAGACCAGTTGGTCCCGAGCAGGGCGGCCAGCCAGACTTCAGCACAGGCCACAATGGCCCGCCCGCTCCGGAAGGACCTGGACCCGAATTCGATCCTGAGCCTGACGCAGCACATCGAACGCCGATGGGCAAGGGACCTCTCGCCGCAACTTGCACCCAAAAGGCCGACAAGGAGCCTGGCTTCGAGCACCAGACAAAGGCACAACAGGGCGCCAGATGTGCAACACATAGTTTACGAGCGGTGGGCAACTGTCCGCAAATGGTGCACGACCTCAAATAGCCCTTGACCTCTGGCCCCAGGGTCTCAAGGTCACGATCCGCATGCTGAGGAGGCTTACCGCCCTCTTCTTCATTCTCTTTATCCTCCGCCTCCTCCTTCTCCTCCCACAGCGATCGAAGTATCGAGGAGATTAAGCTTGTTTACGTTGCTGGGCCTTCTGGAGCCTCTGGAGGATTCGGGAGACCTCCAGAGTAGGGATTATCATCCTCCTTCACCCTGTATATCGCGCTGACTGTCGGCCAGTTTCAGTGTTAACATCCCCCCTCATTATTTTCCTCCCCCTGTTCTTCCTTTCCTACACTCCTCCTTCTCATCCTGCAGGTTCTCCTCATTACGCTCCTGATCCTGTTCCTGCTCGTCCTCTTTCTCCCCCTCCTCCACTGGGTCCCCCCGTATCCCTGTCATTGTCCTGCGTCTCCGCCTCTTTCTCCCTCCTCTCTTCCTCGTCGCGTCGTCGTCGCCGAGGGCTCCACGAACGTGAGCTTGCCGACACCGAAGGCGTCGAGTTTTTTGAAGAGGCGGCCGCACAGATCCCGGGGGAACTCTGGCACCGCCCGGCTCACGACCTCGCGCGCGGGGGCAGACTGGTCTACTCTGTAAGAACGGTTTTTTGAAGGCAGATCTGCCTTCAAAAAACCGTTCTTACAGAGTAGACCAGTCTTTCCTGCTTGCAGGGGGAGAGAGAGTGGGCGGAGGCGGAGGTGGACATCAGGAGCGGCAGGGGGAGAGGGAGCGAGCGAGCGAACCAGGCGCCAGTTCAGGCGCATGCGGCAAAGCGCGCGTGCCTGGGCCCGTTTGGGCGAGGCGCGCGCGGCCGCAGCCTCTCGGGACCTGCGGAGCTCTGACTCATGCGAGAATCTGCGCGGCTGCAGGCCAGAAGCTGGAAGTCGGGATGCTGGGGTGGTGCCGGGAGCTGGAGTTATGCGGCTGGGTGCTGACTGGTGCTGGCTGGCGGTCAACTGGAGGTCAACTGGCGACAGGGAGGAGGGAGGGGAGAGAGAAGGTAAGGGGAGGAGGAGGAGGAGGAGGAGGAGGAGGAGGAGGAGGATAAGAGGGGAGGAGGTGGGAGGCGAGGAGAAGAAAGGGGAGGGGAGGAGAGGGGAGGAGAGATGGACGCGGAGGTGGATAGCAGGGGCGGCGAGGGGGGGGGAGGGGAGGAGCGGGAGGCAGAAAGAGGGGAGGAGAAGGGGGGACGGGATAGGAGGGGGGAGGGCAGGAGCGGAAAAAGGGGAGGGGGAGAGGCAAGCTAGGTGCGCTCGCGTCATATCTGACATTCTACCCCTCCCTCCCATCCCTTACCATGGCGTAGATCCCCTCTCTACTCGCACAGTCGGATGTCGAGCAAGGCAATGATCCCGAAAGGGTACGCGATGCATTGTAGAGCACGGCATGGCATGGCGTAGAAGAGCACCGCAAAGCGTAGTATGTCACAGCATGGCGTGGCGTGGCGTGGCGTAGTGAAGAATTGCATCACAAAGCTTTACAACGCAAAGCATGGCATCGCACAGCGGCCCCGAACATAACATTGCATAGCATGGCGTTGAAGATCAAAGCGTAGCATGGCACAGCACGACGTGGCACTTAAGCACTGCATATCACAGCTTCAGCTGAAGGCATGGCATCGCGCAGCGGAACGCAACCTAGCATTGCATTGCATGCCGTGGCATGGCACGGGAAATGACGCCAGCGCTGCAGCGGGAGCACGATTCGGAACGAGCGGAAGCGCGGAAATGAGGCCAGCGCTGCAGCGGGAGCACGATTCGGAACGAGCTGAAGCACGGAAATGAGGCCAGCGCTGCAGCGGGAGCACGATTCGGAACCAGCGGGGGCCGAAAATGAGGCCGGCGCCTCAGCGAGAGCAGCATTTTGAAAAAAAATGCAGGCGACTCCGGGGAATCCTGTGTGTAAATAAACAGTACGCGGGGGGGGCGAACCCTCCCAACCCGTCATCAGGGGAAGGAGGAGAGTAGTATTCATATTGAGTAATTGTGGAGGAGGAGAGGGGGGGAAGGGGAGAGGGGAGGGGGGAGGGCGACCTGCGCGCGCTCACGCCGTGACCTTCCCACCCATGCCTGCCCACTGCGCTGAATTGGGCTGTGGCCACCTGCAGGGGTGTCCTAGAGGACCCTGTGGCCCCCAAAATGACCCCATCGCGCGCAGAACTTGAGCGGGCTTATCATTGGACGAGGAGGAGGAGGAGGAGGTGGCGGCGATGACCAGGCGGATGAGCAGGAGGAAGAGGAGGATGAGGATAAGGAGGAGGAAGGGATAAGCAGCACCAGCAACACGAGGAGTACGAGGACAAGGCGGGGCGAACAGGGGGACGAGGAGAAGGCGGAGGGGGGGAAACGAGCGGGGCGGCAACGAAGGGGAGGGAACCGGATCCAAAAGTGTGGCACTCGCTGGGGCGAGATCCCCAAGTCTGAACGGCGGGGGCAAAGCGACAAGTCTGAAACGTCGCCAAAGCTTCAGCGGGAACACTGTGTTGGAGAACCGACGGCATCCCGATCTGAAAAACGGATCACGCTCGCCAGCGCGAAACCGAAACAGTGGTCCTTGAGCTCGTGATGTGTACTCAACGTGGTGCAGTGTGCTAGTGCGTGCGTGCGTGCGTGCGTGCGTGCGTGCGTGCGTGCGTGTGTTATGTGTGTTATGTGTGTTGTATGTTGTGCGTGTGTCGTCTATGTGCGTGCATGCGTGCGTGTGTTATGTGTGTTGAGTGCTGTGTGTTGTGTGTTGTGTGTTGTGAGTGTTGTACATTATGTGTTGTGTGTGTTTATTGTCTTTGTGCGTGCGTGCGTGTGCGCGCGTGCGTGTGTGCGTGTGTGCGTGTGCGTGTGTGTGTGTGTGTGCATGTGCGTGTGCGTGTGTGCGTGTGTGCGTGGGTGCGTGCGTGTGCGTGTGTGCGTGTGTGCGAGTACGTGTACGTGTGTGCGTATGCGTTTGCGTGTGCGTTTGTGCGAGTACGTGTACGTGTGTGCGTGTGCGTGTGCGTGTGTGCGTGTGCGTGTGCGTGTGCGTGTGCGTGTGCGTGTGCGCGTGAGTGTGCGTGTGCGTGTGCGTGTGCGTGTGCGTGTGCGTGTGCGTGTGCTTCTGCGTGTGCGTGTGCGCGCGCGCGTGCGGCATTGCCGCTCGCCGCTCCTCACTCTCTTTCCCCACTCGGGCCTCCAGCTGCCTCATGGCTTGTCCCACGAAACCGTTGGCGGAACTTGTCGTTGTTGTCTGTTGTCGCCTCGGGCGCTTAAACCTCTGGTGGAAGGCTAGCCCGTACCCGGGGGCCGTCGTCCTGGTTCTCGGCCCTGTCTTGCCCTGTCTACACCACCCAAATTTGGAGGCCTGGAAATTGGCACCAACACCAGCACAGGGGTTTGCCTCCACAGGGAGATGATGATCTTAGATTTCGGTGTTGGTGGTAATATTTAGGTCACCTTGGAAGCCAGAATATTACCACCATCACCGAGATCGGGATCGTCTTCCCTCGGTGGAGGCACACCGCCGATCTTGGTGTTGGTGTCAATCTCTAGGACTCCGACAAATGTTTGTCCCATCTCTCGGTCCTTGCGCCCCACGCATGTACTGTACCGCCTTTTTTTTCCGTCGGTCCACCAGACCTGCGGTCCACGAGCGCGCGGCGCCCGAGCAGCGGCGCGGCAGCTGGCGCCAGCGGCCCGCGGGAGCCGCGCGCTCGCCACCTCGCCAGCGAGTCTCGAAGAGAAACGCCGCTTTTTGTAAGCTCGCGTGTCCCCGCGCGCTTACTCCCCGCTCGAAAAAAAAAGAGTGTCCCCGCGCGCAGCTCCCCTGGAGTGGAAGCCCCACCCCGTCTTCTCCCGCGCTGGGGAATGAACGGGGCAGCCGCGGTCGAATCCCGAAGGGGGCAACAGGGCCCCGCGAGTTCTGCCCCCAACGGCGCGGGCGCCGCAGGGCGCCATGTGAAAGCAGCATACGCTCGCTTGAGATATTGTGCAGTCGATGTCGGTGAACACTCCCACTACAAGGACACGAAATTGCCCTAACAATGTTTGCTGTCAGGGATTCTTACTTGTTGTTCCAACAATTGGGTTTGATTGCCGCCCCGGCCGGCTTGTTCTCGCCCCGCCTCCGCCCCGTCGCCGCTCGTCGCCGCCCGTCGCGGCATCGTCGCCACTTCGTGTGCCGCCCTGGCCCGCTTCTTCTCGCCCATCGCCGCCCCGTTGCCGCTCGCCGCCGCCCGTCGCCGCCTCGTCGCGGGTCGAGTGCCGCCCCAGCACGTTTGTGATCGCCCCGTCGCCGCCCGACGCCCCCCGTCGACGCTTCGTCGTCGCGCATCACATAACTTACGCCACATAGACTGCACCACATAGATTGCGCCCAGAACATTACAGTTATAGCGCACTCCATACGGGCTGCACCACATAGCTTACACCACACAGCTCATACCACATGTGTTCCGCCGCATAGATTGCGCAACCTTGATGTCACGACATAGCCTACACCACATAAAACGTACCACCTTGACTGTACCACATATATTGCACTACATAGCTTACACGTCATTGCTCACACCACCTCGATGAGCACGTTGGCTCCATTTCGTCACCACCACATACATTATACCAAATAACTCAAACATGTTCTGCACTGCAGAAACTGCATCACCTAGAACCCACGACGCAGTTGGCACCACATAGATCGCACCATGTGGATGTCACCACATATGTTGCACGACATACTGCACACCCAGAAGATGGCATCACAACATCGTAGACGGCACCACCACATACCTTACACCACAGAGCTTGCACCACACTTACGTAGGCCAAAATGCTTGCAACAGACAGATTGCACCACGTAGTAACAAACCGCCGTTTGGGTTCCAGGCTGGCGAACATCTCACTGTTCGGCTGAATCCCCACATGCCGTTCGTTTCAATGTGCTTGCGCTGAGTGCAAATGAAACATCTTGGTTCCGAACGGATTTTACGGCAACAAAAACAATACACGAAACACACACCACAACAACAACAACAACAACAACACCACCACCACCACCACCACCACCACCACCACCACCACCAACAACAACAACAACAACAACAACAATCAATTTAAAACGTATCACTCTTATCTGCTCGAATATCCGCTAACGCGTATTTCCCAAACCCTCGATATCAGCCCTCTTCGCCTTCGATCGTACCCTTTTTTGGGGGTATACCTTTCTCCCCTGCAGGCCGGGCCCCGGCAAGCGGCGGGGCGGCCGCGGACCGTCGGCCTGGCCAGCGGCAATGCTGATCGGTGGCAACCCGACCCCAAGAGGGACGGACAGAGGGCCGACCACGACGACGTCGACGACGACGACGGCGGGCCACCAAGGTCGCGAAGTGGGCCACGAAGGGCGACAGCGGGGACACGAAGGGAATGCGTTTTGAGGCCACGAAGAGCGCGAAAGAGCGGGGACCACGAAGGGCAGATAATGCGGGGCTACAAAGGCAACGACGGTGCCACTGAGGGTAGCAACTGGGCCACGTAGGACAGCGAGGGGGCCACGAAGGGCGACAGCGGGGCCACGAAAGGCATGCACATGGAGCCAC